GCGTACGAAGGTGGAGCCCACTGCCCCCCGGTTTCCAGATGCAGAAACAGAGGCCCAGGGAGGGCTCATGCGTTGCCTGAGTTCTGTCACGAGTCGGATACTGAGCCGAAGCTGGAACCCGAGTCCTCCGCCTTCCCATCCAGAAGGTAAGGGAGGATAGAGAAGCCCACAGCGCCTGGTGACAGAAAATAACAAAAGCAAACACTCACTGAGCACTTCCTATGTGCCACGCCCTGCCGTCAGTCTCCAGAGGCACACTTCCTTACCTACTTCTCGAAACCACACAAAGGAGCTACTGTTTTTGTTCCCATTTATCAGATGAAGAAACTGAGGCCCAGCGAGGTTATGTACCTGACCCCTTCCAATGCACAAAGATAATACGTGGTGGATCCAGGATTCCACCCAGGGTGCCGTAACTATCCTATGGAGGCCCCACTTTTAATCACGTTGGAGAGATAGAACTTATAAGAAGGATCCACTCCAGGGAGCGACACTAAACCCACTTGAGCCCAAGGAGCGGGCGTCTGTCCGATACAACCCAAGAAGAGTCCAGCTATAGAAAAGGCCCCTCCGTGGGGCGCCTGGGTGGCTCAGTCCGTTAAGCGTCTGACTTCGGCTCAGGTCACGATCTCGCGGTCCGTGAGTTCGAGCCCCGCGTCGGGCTCTGTGCTGACAGCTCGGAGCCTGGAGCCTGCTTCGGATTCTGTGTCTCCCTCTCTCTCTGCCCCTCCCCTGCTCATGCTGTGTCCCTCTCTGTCTCTCAATAATAATTAAACATTAAAAAAGAAAGGAAGAAAAGGCCCCTCCAAGGTAGCACTAAACTTCCCAGTGGTGAAAGAATGTAAGAAACGCTTGAGCCCCCCCTGTGGAGACGGTGCCACGATCTTTAAGCAGCTTGGAGTGGGTGGTGTATCAGACGGGGCCAGTGTGTCTTCACAGGTCCCATGAGTGGCTCGTGACGGGGGGATGTGCACTAAATGACACTGAATCACATCATGGGGAACAATTTCCCTTCCCAATTCCCTTCCAACCCTTTGGTTGCTCCCAGGAGGAAGTTTCAGTTTTTGGTTTTGTTTTGTTTTTTTTTTTTTTTTTTTTTTTTTTTTTTTTTTTTTTTTTTTTTTTTTTTTTTTTTTGCTGGCTTGTCCTTAACATTGTTCTAATACTTGCTCATCTTCCATTTTAGTTTTTATTTATTAAAAAAATTTTTTTGATATTTATTTATTTTTGAGACAGAGACACAACGCAAGAGGGGGAGGGGCAGAGAGAGAGGGAGACACAGAATCCGAAGCAGGCTCCAGTCTCTGAGCTGTCAGCACAGAGCCCGACGCGGGGCTCGAACTCACGGACCGCGAGATCATGACCCGAGCCAAAGTCGGACACTTAACCGACGGAGCCACCCAGGCGCCCCACGGAGGGGCCTTTTCTATAGCTGGACTCTTCTTGGGTTGTATCGGACAGACGCCCGCTCCTTGGGCTCAAGTGGGTTTAGTGTCGCTCCCTGGAGTGGATCCTTCTTATAAGTTCTATCTCTCCAACGTGATTAAAAGTGGGGCCTCCATAGGATAGTTACGGCACCCTGGGTGGAATCCTGGATCCACCACGTATTATCTTTGTGCATTGGAAGGGGTCAGGTACATAACCTCGCTGGGCCTCAGTTTCTTCATCTGATAAATGGGAACAAAAACAGTAGCTCCT